AGGATATGCTCAATGGTATCATCTTTTTATTCGCACCCCCTCCTATGGATACGTATTCTGACAGTCCCATGATATGGGGATGTTTTCGTACTTGGCAATGACCAGTCACAATGCCTGTGATCAGGCTCAGATTTTGTCTAGTCACAAGGGAATGTTACTTAATTAGGTCTGTCAATACCGATGTTGTCAGTCCAATAGAAGGACCAGGTCCAAAAATTATTTGGTTGGCTACTTTCTTGGCTAGTGAATCAGCAAGAAGGCTACCTTTCGATGTGGCGTGACCTTTGATCCACCTTAAGGTGACCATATTATTAATGTATACGCTTGCCAAAACTTCGTGACATTCTAGTACTAACCCCCTGAGTAAATTCGAAGTCTGTTCAGGGTAAGTAGTGCTTGTCTGCTATCTGTATAGATAAGCATGTTTATACCAGTTGTTAAAGGGTCTACGTAAAAAATCGTGAACGTGGCAACGCCAACAAAGTTCGCAGAGCTTGTGCGATTACGTAACCACCTTCCCCGCGCACCTCGGGTTAAAACAACAATCGTAATAGTTATATTTTTTGCAAGCTCAGACACGGGTCGAGCACGGAAAGTCAGCTGTAAAAGACATAACAGACATTTCATTATTTCATTCGTTAGTTCGTTGTTTCTTTTTATAAAACTTATGTTAATTTATTTTTAATACAGTCCATTGTTTGTCGTTTAATGAAATAAATAGTTGTTTTTTATTACAACCGAAAAGTTATTTTACACCATTTTTGTATTGTTTCTGGTGCTTTCTTTTGTTGCTATGAGAATCTCCGTAAGCTCGGTTTGAACTGCATTGGTACTATTACTCACAGTCCATTTTATGTTGAGGTTTAAGGAATTGGTGTATATTTTACATCCTGCGCCTTGTTTTGTTTTAGAACTGTTGGTGTAGATATAAATCGTACCTGCCACTTTCAAAACCTGTAACTATAGACTATCGCGTTATTGCCTACCTTATCGAAGATAGTAGAACGGCTAATGAAAAACCGTCTTTTGCCCTTTCTTTTCAAGCATAACATCCTCACAGCTCATCAGTATGGCTTTCTACCTAAAAAATGCACTAGCGACGCAATGTTTTCCGTTCTTAATGAAATATACACATCACTTAATGATAAACTTTTCACCGCTTCAGTATTTTGTGACTTCGCAAAGGCCTTCGATTGTGTAAATCATGATATTTTAATTAATAAGTTACAAATTTATGGCATACGGGGTTCTCCTTTACAATGGTTTAAAACTTACCTAGAAAATAGAAATCAACAGGTGCGGGCGAATGGTGAGGATTCTACAAATCTAGCAATAAGCAGTGGAGTACCTCAAGGATCAGTATTAGGTCCAATTTTGTTTTTATTATTCATCAACGACATCACAGACTTAAGAATAAGTGGTAGAATTACTTTATTTGCTGATGACACCAGTGTAACCTGGAATAATTCTAACATGCAGACATTACAATCTATCATAAGTGAAGATCTAGTGACTATTAAGTCCTGGTCTGATTCGAATGGACTTTGTTTCAACACCAGTAAAACTGTAGCATTGTCTTACAGAGGTACTTTGCAACCTATAACTTTAAACAATAATCTGATCCAAACGGTGACTTCAATCAAGTTTTTAGGTCTTTATATAGACGATTCTCTAAAATGGTCTGCTCATATAGATACCTTAGCAAAAAAATTATCCTCCGCATGTTTTGCCATTAAATCGGTTTCTAAAGAGCTGACTCCTTCTACTGCATTAATAACCTACTTTTCCTTATTCGAATCTCACCTTCGCTATGGTTTACCTTTCTGGGGTTCTTGTAGCTTATACCTTTTCGAATCTATTTTTAAACTGCAAAAAAGAGCAATCCGCTATGTATTTGGTTTAAGTAGTAGGACACATTGCGAAAATTACTTCAAAAATTTCAAAATTCTAACCCTTCCTGCTCTATTTATTTTCGAATCCGTCTGCTTAGTTCGCAAGCACATTCAAAATTTATCCGAAAGACCGACTCGTAGATATCCTACAAGAAATTTAGAGACTGATGTTTATTTAACAATGCCCACTTCTGACCTATTAAAACATTCCATTACCTACAATGCCAAAAAATTGTATAATAACCTTCCGATGCAATTAAAATCTATAAATACATACGATAAGTTCCGAAGACTGGCTAAAGCTTTTCTTCTAGAAAGACCATATTACACAGTAGCAGAATTTTATAACGTACCTTAGACATTTGAGTTCCACATACAATGGCATTAATTAAATATTAAAGTTTAAATTTAAATTTAAAAATTAAATTAGAATAATTATAATGACGGATATTGCATATCCATTGCAATTGTTATTCCTATTTTGTCTGTTTGTTTCTGTTTGTTTTTCTGCTGTTTAGTTATTTTTATATGTTTAGTATTTAAGTTACACGCTTTGTCTATAAAATTTTTGTAAATTTTTTTACGACAATAAAGCATATCTCTCTCTCTCTCTCTCTCTCTCTCCGACTCCTCTATATGTTGTTATAACTTCAAATGACTTATAGAAGATATATCTCGGTAAGATGAAGCGCCTTTTGCCAAAAGCGACGTCTCGCCTCACCAGATCATACATCAGGTTCTATTCCAACCGTGCAGAGGCGTGTCATTGCCATCAGAGAGCAACCTCCTCGATGTAAATATCAAGGGGAGTGAGACTCAGAACGACTTTTATGGCTGTGGTTGGTGTGGTTTTTATAGGTCCTGTTATGTTGAGACATGTTATTTGAATTTATTCTCGTTTGCGGATGTGTCACTTTTTGGATTTTCGGTACCCAGACAACTGCACCGTTTTTTAGCATAGGTCTTATGATGGTCATGTAAATCCATCTGCCGACTCTGGGGGAGAAGTCCCAGGTGCGCACCACGGTTCGGCGATATTGCTAATAAGCAATGTATGCTCTTTTGACTCTGTTTTCCAAGATTGAGTTCAATGTTATGGTCATTTTGGGGCTTAGGACCCAGTTTTTCCTACTTATTCTTTTACAGCTCTCGAGAGCTATTGCAACGTTGTACATATGCTAGTTTTTTGATGTGTTGGTTCCATGTCAGCCTTTGATCGAAAATGACTCAGGAATTTTTGACTTATGTGATAAATGGAATAGTGCTAATAGTTTTAGCTGTTTTAGCCCTATCTCCTTTTATGTGAATGATACAACTGTTGTTTATTTGGTGTTAATTGACAATTTTTCCATTTTACGACAGTTGCTCACTATGTTTAGAGCTATTTGAGAGCGCTTTACCCTGGCCATAATTGCTAGGTCGTTCCCGTATCCTAGACATTGGTAGCTTTCTTTGGACAGTGTTTTGAGTAGATGCTCCACTAGAACTGACAGCATTTAGTACTGATCCTTGCGGGTAGCCCCGTGTTTAACTTTTGCCAGGATGGTTGCCTCTCCTAGAGAGAATGTACACCGGTCCTATTCTCTAGACTGGCAGTGATCCACTGGCATATTTTGACTGAGACGATTTTCTGTTTTAAAGCCTTTGCAATATTTTTGCGTTACTATGCAATATAATTACGTTAATTTGTAATAATATTTATGGTACTATAGTGTGTTATGTTAAAAATAAGTCACGCGAGAAAGATTTATAAATTCTCAAGGAACATGAGTGGCATACAATGTAAAAGAAATCATTTTTTTTTATGAGATAATAATAAGTTTTGTGATCAAATCCAAGCTACTTGCGTCTCAGTACCCTATAAGTGTCAGAATGACTTGATAGTGTGTCGGCGTCTTCTAACTTTTATATGATACAGCAACAAGAGTCTTACTGTAATTCAGCTTTACGAGTCCAAACAGAAAACTGCAATGTCTATCTCCAGTATCAAACATGTAAAATATTGAATGGCTTGGAAGTTAAAGAAGGAATGGAAGAAAGCAGCTGCTTCTGTTCGCTTTCTAAACAAAAAAATAGATTTTGTTTTTTCACGAGGCTCTTATATGAAATTTCCAACAATAATACAAACAATGTGTAATTCCAGCAAGAAAAAAGGAATTACTAAACCATATTGAACAAATTTAACTTGACTTTCAAAATATATACTTATAACTAACAAAAAATAGAAATATAATTTCTACTGAGATATTTTTTTAATGACATTTTTTAACTCTCCGCTGTTTACAGCCATATCACTGGTAGTTGGTTCAAGATATGATCGGAAAATGAAATTTCAAGACACGATATGGATATTGACTGCCAACTATACGAAATTTCTATTGCGTGCGGCGATAATTAAATTTTATATTAATCCAATATTTTTATACGATGTCACAAATGCAAAATAACATTAAAAGGAATTTTTAAAATGTTACACCTTTATTATTGACCTTGTTGAGGCGTTATTGAAAAATTCTTCGATATCTAATAAAGTGGTTGTTAAATTAATCGTTTTGGTCTAGTTTTTCCAAAATTATATTTTTCTTTTTACAGGTATTTTATACCTAAATGGTTTTTAGATATAATAAACATAAAAAAGGTTTTTCCATTTATACCTTGACCAAACAATTTTTGGGTTTTCCTAAAAAACTGACTAAAAATTGGTTTGGTATTTAAAACGTGCGTTTCGAAATTAACTCCCGTTCGCTTTAAATACATCGAGTCAAATAAGTCGTTTTATGCAAACGTGCGTCGGCAGACGGACCAACCAAAAACGCAGTTTATAAAAAGATGTACCTAATAAATATTCTAAAAAACTGATCGCCGTCGTTAAAGCAAGGTGTAAAAACTTCTTTTTGAAATATTAGGTAGCTCAGCGCCTTTTTAAGGCGTTTTGGACAATAACTTGTAAATGACAACCGGATCCATCCTCTTCAACAACTGTGGCCCCAATCCCCTTCCTACATGCGGACGTTGGGAAACCAATGACTGAAAAGTCGCGTGCGTTTAGAACAAACGGACTTAGAACCAGCTTTAGAGAATATTAGTAATAACCAATTCAAAGGCATTGACTGTAACTGGTTAGCTCGGAAATAAGTTTCTTTGGCAGAGGCAACAACGATCGAAGGGTAGAGGTAGAAATCAAAGACAATAACGATTAAATTTAAATATTTTTAATAAGTAATAATTATATAATAGACAATAGACAAAAAACTGTAATAAAATAGACCCTGAGTTTAAAATTAAAACATAATAGGTTTGTTTTTCGTTTGATTTTTAACATAAGCTGTAAAACGTTTTAAAAACTTTGGATATTCGCGTTTGTACACCGCCCTCAACACCGAAGCGGGAGCCCAACCGCCAGGATTTACTGAAAATAAACAGAAAAAACATTAAAAATAAATAAACAAATCAGAAATATTAAATTGGAAGAGCAGCAATTCCGAAACATTTTCTTTTTTTTTTAAATAATTTATTGGCCTAATAGCTAGGATGATACCAGCCAGTTGGTAACATTGACAGAAATGTCTAGACAGGGTCATGTAATTATATTTGACAACTTTAAAGGCCAGTCTTTTCACCTCTGAGTGAAGTTAAAAGTAACTACTTGCTGATTAAACTATAAGGCTATTGTTTGTCAATCTGTCAAGTAAACCTAGATGTAACTTTACTCAGATGTGAAAAGAAGGACCCTTTTAGCCAAATTAAAGATAAATTGTAGTGGTAGCTGTATCTAAGCGATTTTCATAGCAATTTGTTGTTTGTTCCTAAACATTTTCGATTTGCTGGTGCCGACGTTTTCAAGAAATAGTTTGCTTTGTTGAAAATATGTTTCCATCATTGGAAAGTTATTAAATAATATTTGTGACGTTCAACACGTTGGGAAAGACATTTTAGAATGTGACTAACCGTTCTAAAACATGTTTAAACTTTAAATAATTCGAAAACACGTTTCTGATAATTTTTTAAACGTTACTGCGTTTTGTAAAGATTGACATTTCTACTGCAACGTTTTAAACAGAAAATGCGTGCATGTCATTTTGATATAAACTTTTATTCATCTCAAAAATTAACGACGTACATCACAGTGATAATTTAAAAACGATGTTTTTGATTTTTTAAACTATTATTTAGTTTTAAACGAGTCGTTTTTAAAAATTGTTAGTTTAAAAACGTTAATTAACATAATCTTTTATTTTAAAATTATAACGTTTTAAAAACGACGTTTCCGACATCTGCCGTGTAAACAACGAACTCCTTAAGATGTTTAGACGATTAGAAAGGCGACGATTTCAAAGATTCTAAACTCAGGTATATTAAAAATGTCGAACACGATATTTTCAGTAACGTAACCTTATAAAAGACATTTTACTTTCATGAAAACCAGAAAATCGCTCTTGAAATATTTTAAACATTCTGTCGTTTTAAAAACGACATTTTAAGTAACGTGGTCCTTAAAATAATGACTTTTCTACAAAAATATCGCAAAAAATAAAGATTCTAAACATTTTGTATCTTTAAAATCCTTTTATAATACTTTTATCATTTGAAAACGCTCTTTTAACATATTTTTTTAAAAACGACGCAAACGGTTATAACATCAGACAGCTTTAAATGTATAACGTTAAAAAAAGACAACATAGACATTTCGCATATTTCATGCAAATAAATAATTCATCATGATGTTTTTTTTTAAATACTAATATAAACGCGACGTTTTTAATTATTATAAAATATGACTGGTTACAAATGTCGATAACTACGTTTTTAATATTGCAAACTCATAAAGACATTTTACTTTACGATAACCAAAAAAGCAATCCTAAAATATTTTAAACCATTTTTATCATTCTGTCGTTTTAAAAACAACATTTTAATTAACGTAATCTTTAAAAAATAACGTTTTTTAACAAACTTCGCCCTCAAAATAAAGCTCGTATGCGTTTTGTAGCTTTTAAATCTCTTTATCGTCAGACAACTTTAAAAAGGTCCTCAAATATATAACGTTAGAAAAAAAAACAGTGTTAAACGTTTCTAATATTTCATGTGGACAAATAATTCATCAGGATGTTTTAACGCTTATAAACGCGACGCTTTTCAATACTGCAAATTAATAAGACATTTTACTTTACGAAAACTAAAAAAATTGATCCTGATTTTAAACCATTTTTAGCAATCTGTCGTTTTAAAAACGACATTTTAAGTAACGTAATCTTTAAAAAATAACGTTGTTTAACAAACTACGCACTCAAAATAAAGCTCCTATACGTTCTGTAGCTTTGAAATCCTTTTATGATACTTTCGTCACTCGAAAACGCTCTTTTAACATAAAACGTCACAATGATAACAATTTTAAACATTATAGATACCTTTTTAAAACGTTTCTAACATTAGACAACTTTAAAGAGGTCCTTAAATATATAACGTTCAGAAAAAATACAGAATTGACGTTTTCGATATTTCATGTGAACAAATATTCACCAAAATATTCTGACGCTTATAAACGCGACGTTTATGACTGATTAAAAACGTCGATAGCTACGTTATTAATATTGCAAACTGATAAATTTATTTATGAAAACCAACGCTCTTTTATCATAAAACGTCGAAATGATAACAATTTTAAACATTTTAGATAGCTTTCCTTAAGGTGGCTCCATTTTTTTAAAAATGTCATTAACGTTTCTAACATCAGACAACTTTAAAGAGGACCTCAAATGTATAACGTTAACAAAAAATACAGAATTGACGTTTCTGACAATTCATGTGAACATTATAACGCGACGTTTTCAATTATAATAAAAGACATTTTACTTTACGAAAACTAAAAACGTCACAATGATATCAATTTTAAACAGTTTAGATACCTTTCCTTAAGATGGCTCCATTTTTTTAAAAACGTCATAAATGTTTCTAACATCAGATAACTTTAAAGAGGTCCTCAAATGTATAAAGGTCAGAAAAAATACAGAATTGACGTTTCTGATATTTCATGTGAACAAATATCCACCAAAACGCGACGTTTTCAATGATTATAAAATATGAATGGTTAAAAAACGTCGATAGCTACGTTTTTAATATTGCAAAATGATAATTTTAATTATGAAAACCAAAAAAAAGCGCTCTTGAAATGATTTAAACCATTTTTTAACATTATGTCGTTTAAAAACATTTTAAGTAACTCGAATCTTAAAAAAAAATTTACATAAAACGTCGGAATAATAATTTTAAACATTTTAGATGTTTTTATAACCTTGCTTTATTTCTTAAAAACTTCATAAACGTTTCTGACATCTGACACTTTTAAAATGAAGTCCACAAATGTATAACGTTCAGAAAAATAACGGCATTGACGTTTCTGATATTAAGTAAGAACAAATAATTCATCAGGAAGTTTTAACACTTTAAAACGGAGTCCTTCAAAGGTATGTTTAGAAAAACATGGCATTCACGTTTCTGACATGACTAGGTACAGCAAACACCACCTGTCGTATTTTGTAGTTTTAAAAACGTCACGTTTTTAAACTTTTAAGGATGTTTAAAAACGCGACGTTTTCCAAAACTACAAAAAACGACAGGTTAAAAACGTCGACGTTTATAAAAAAAAACGTTGTGATGCTACTAAAATGTAAAAATACAATCTGTCTATATTTTAGTGATTTACAACGTTAGAACAGCTTTTTCTATTAACCAAACTAACTGGCAACATACTTTTGCTCAATCATTTATGACGGAATATCTGCTCTTCAATAGCTACTTATTTGTGCGGGTTTCGGGATTACTTTTAGTGATTTTAATGAGAAAAATGGACGATGAAATACGTACCGACAGAGCAATAAGTAATTTTGCACGATAGATTGTCCCTCGTCAAGGACGTCCCTTCCTTCGGCGGGTCCACAGTCGTCTGGCAAAGCAGGCACACCGTCAGAAACACCCTGACGCATTTACCGTTATTCGGCTGCAAAAAAATGACAGATTAAACGTCAGTTATAACATGTCGTCAAAAGAATTACCGGATAATCGGGATGGTCGGTGGAATTGTTGACCACCGTCCAAATGTCCGGCCCGTCTCTGTCTTTCTCGTTGGGCAACTTCCTGATGTGCGACCAGAAGAGCCCGTCCCGCTGGCTGGCCGGCCAAATCCGTTTGTGGGTTTGTAGAAAGACCAACGTGTCTTCTGATATGGTTTCTAGTACTGTCATGTGCTCCAACGTAGCTAAAAACAAATGCATTAAAAGGAATTTTCAAGAACTATTTTTAATTGCTTATTTTATTGTATTTTCTTTTTTTTGTATTTCTTGAATTTTTATGTATATTTTTGTTATTTTTTGTTATTTTTTGTTATTTTTTGTTATTTTTTGTTATTTTTTGGTATTTTTTGGTATTTTTTTTTTAATATTTGTTGTAAAAATACTAAAAATAGTATTTTAGAATTTTTGAACTTTCGCATTTTTGAAATTTTTGCATTCTTTGTATTTTGCATTTTTTACATTTTCTGTGTTTTTGGCATTTTTTGCATTTTCTGAATTTTTGTATTCTTTGTATTTTGTTTTTCTTTGTATTTTTTGTATTATTTTGCATTATTTTGTATATGTTTGTGTATTTTTTGCATTTTTTCTATTTTTAGCATTTTTGTATTTATATATTTTGGTATTTTTTTTGTATTTTTTGCATTTTCTGTATTTTTTTGCATTTTTTTGGTATTTGTTTTATTATTTATATTGTTTGCATTTTTGTATTTTGTATTGTAAAAATACTAAAAATAGTATTTTAGAATTTGAAATTTTTGTGTTTGTATTTTTTATATTTTTTATTTAATTTTTGTTGTAAAAATACTAAAAATAGTATATTAGAATTTTTGTATTTTTTGCATTTTTTTGAATTTTTTTTTGCATTTTGTTGCATTTTTATGCATTTTTTTGTATTTTTGTATTTTTTTGTATTATTTTGCATTATTTTGCATTATTTTGTATATTTTTCTATTTTTTATATTTTTTGTATTTTTTGTATTTTATTTTTTATATTTTTGTATTTTTTGTATTTTTTATATTGTTTGCATTTTTGTATTTTTTATTTATTTTTTGTTGTAAAAATACTAAAAATAGTATTTTAGAATTTTTGAGATTTTTGTATTTTATTTTTTTGTACTCGGTATTTTTTTGTATTTTGTTTGTATTTTTTTTATATTTTTACATTTTCTGAATTTTTCATTTTCTGTATTTTTGTATTTTGTATTTTTTTGTATTTTTTGATATTTTTTGGTATTTTTTTGGTATTTTTTGGTATTTTTTGGTATTTTTTGGTATTTTTAATTTAATTTTTGTTGTAAAAATACTAAAAAGAATATTTTAGAATGTTTGTATTATTTTGTATTATTTTGTATTATTTTGTATTATTTTATATTATTTTATATTATTTTGTATTATTTTGTATATTTTTGTATTTTTTGTATTTTCTGTATTTTTTTGCATTTTTGTATTTTTCTATTTTGGTATTTTCTGTATTTGTATTTTTTGCATTTTTTTGTATTTTTTTGCATTTTTTGCATTTTCTGTATTTTTTGAATTTTTTGAATTTTTTGAATTTTTTGGTATTTATTTTATTTTTTATATTGTTTGCATTTTTGTATTTTTTATTTAATTTTTGTTGTAAAAATACTAAAAATAGTAGTTTAGAATTTGAAATTTTTGTATTTGTATTTTTTTTGTATTCTTCGTATTTTGTGCATTTTGTTTGTATTTTTTTACATTTTCTGTATTTTTTGCATTTTCTATATTTTTGTATTGTTGTAATTTTGTATTTTCTGTATTTTTTGCATTTTCTGCACATTCTGTATTTTTTGAATTTTTTGGTGTTTTATTTTTTATATTGTTTGCATTTTCGTATTTTTGTACTCTATTTTGTATTTTTTTTATATTTTGCTATTTTTGCATTTTATACATTTTATGTATTTTTTGCATTTTTGTTTTTTTTTATTTAATTTTTGTTGTAAAAATACTAAAAATAGTATTTTTGAATTTTAAAATTTTGAATTATTTCATATTTTCCATTTTTGTTATATTTTTAGTTTTTCAAACTCTCATTTTTGTTTTATTTTCATTTGTTATACTTTTAGTTTTGTGATGCTTTTATTTTTTTTTTAACTTTTTATTTTAATTTCATTTCAGTTATGATTTCAATTTTGTTATGCTTCCATTTTCGTTACCTTCATTTTAGTTATACTTTAATTTTTATTTTACTTTAATTTTTGTTAAATTGGGGATAAATTCTACAAATGTATATTATGCTTGCAACCATTTTGTTTTGTTTAACTTTTAAAATAAAAACACTCACTCTCCCAGTCGTATCTGTACTGAGGATTGAAGAAATGATGGCACACCTCGTGACCCGTAATACCCTTAACGATATGGACGGCCTTAAGCGGATCTACCACCATACCGTCCACCTCTTCTTCTCTCCTGTACATCTTCATCTCGCCATCTTCGGCGAACAACTGCCAACCGGATCCGCATTCGCCGATGCCCATCTTGGCCATCGATACTTGTATTTGGACCGTCTTTTCGATCTGAAATAACAAAACCAAACCATATAAGTACAAAGATACTATAATGAGTCTGAAAAAGTTTTACCTCCGGCCATAGACGATGCTGTATGGCTGGCGAAGTGGGTGGCGGGGTTATCGGTACCACCTGACCGGTTTTCAGCCTCTCTCTCAGCTCCTGTTCTTCCTCCATTTTGTCTAGACCCGATTCTACGGCGTCGTAAAATTCATCGTCGGCAATAACGCTATGAGGTCCTTCCTGGAAACGAGAAAATACGACTTAAGTCTCCTTATCTGCGTTTTTAAGTCGCCTGTTAAGAGTGTGATCGGACGGAGGACTAAACGGCATTGTTAAGTCGCTTCTTGAACGAATATGATCGGACGGAAGACTAAACGGTTATTCTAAGTCGCTTTTTGAACGATTAGAAAAGGACAGCGTGTATAAGCCGTAAAAATTGAAACATAGTACATGGAAAACAATAAATATGTCATTAGTGTAATTATAATTCCATTTAGTCTTAAACATTTGCTAAAAAGTACTATACTTACCGGAATCTCTATATTTCAAAATGGATTATTTCTACGAAAATATATCGCAAGTATTTTATTATCAAGCCGAGGGGTCATACAGAAAAGTAACATTTAATATTTAAAATTCATATATTCTATCATTTTTTTTTTAATATATTCAATGTTAAAGGTCAACTTACAGATAACACATATCTAACTTAAATTGTAGATAATATTCATAACCTACATTACATCGACAATCAGTTGACGAGACATAACACAGTGTAGTGGAAAAGCCACAAAAATTGAAAAAAAAAAAGTTTATTTACTTACTTCCAAATCGGGTCCGGGATGGACATTCCGTATCTTTTGGATCTGGACGAAGTACGAATGGGACAACGTTTCGGCCCGTTTGCGCTTCTCGATCTCTCTTTCAAGCCGTTTGCGCCAACAGTCCTCTCTTTGGGTCATCAATTCGGCGCAGTGCTCTAACGTTTCTATCACAGCCGTCGTGGTCGATTTAAATGTCAACGCTTCGCCTTTGAAATCGACCACTGGAAATTTTTCTGGAGAAAAAATAAGGTACAAAATGACGACGTTATAAAGTTATACGTTAGATCTGGAGTCTCTTTATGATCGGACGGAAGACTAAAGGGTGAAGTTCGCTTTATGAAAGATTATGATCGGACGGAAGACTAAACGACTTATATAAGTCGCTCTGTGAACGAAAGACTATATAATTCAGTTTATGAAGGATTATAATTGGACCGTGAGTGACTGATCAATTAAAAAGTAACTTGGGACTAGATATCACGTTCCAAGTGACTCCACAACAAAAAAAGTCTGCAGAAAATGGTTGGGCAGTTAATCAAAAGCGATCTTACTGCAGAAGGGATAAAAATTAAAATAAAACAGTATCTTTGAGTAAAAACATATTTAAATGAATTTAAGATTCGGGTAAACACAATACCTACCAATTATGACAAAAAAGAACTGTATACCTTTTGGTTCTTATAGAATATACCTAATTCCAGTAAGACATTGTTGGATAATTGTACCTTGAACTAATTTCTCCTATTTTTAAACACCTTACGTTATACATAATAAAGTTTCTATAAAAAAATTAACATTCTATTTTCTGTCAAGTAATATGTCAGTAATTGTATACCAGGGGCGTACGTAGATAAACATTTCGTCTTTTTACTGGCCTCTTATCGGTCTACATCCAGCCAAAAATATAATAATAAACTACATCATTACAAACCTTTATCTGATACGCGTACGCCTGTCTTTACATCGTTTTCGACGCAATGATCGAAATACCTTTGCAGCGTATCGATTTGCCTGCAAAGGATGTCTTTGAATGTGCCGATTTCGGCTAGTTTTTCTTTGATGTTCCTCGACGATTTCTTGAAGCTACTTCCAGAAGCCGTGCTATACGTGTTAGACTGTAGACTGACGGTTGAACCATGGCGCTTTAGACTGTTCTCAGAACCGGTGCCATAACCAGACTCGATCTGAAAATATCAAATCGAAAGCGTTAATATTTCGACGTTCATCAGACAATGAGTTCTTTTCACTTCAGTACACGCTAAATCATTGTAATTCAGTGATGTAGAGTTAGATATAGAGTGTAAAGAGTGAAAGGAGTCCATATTTCGAACTTGGCAAGATTTGCAAATATACAATTCAAAAATTAACAATTTGAGAATAGAAAAAGAAAGCAAGTTGTTTAGAAATACAAAAGAGGACGTCATCTCGCGAATAAAATACATTTGTAAGTTCTAAATAGTACAAATAAAGACATATTGAATCAAAAGTCAACATAATCGGATAGAAAACTAAGTAAATTGCTGTAGAGACAGACATATTAAATGAAAATAAATATTTAATCCTTTTTTAAACAAACTAAAGACCGAATGACATTTGTGTAGAGCTGTTTCGTTACTACCGATACGATACCAGTATCGATATTTTTCTTTTGATATTATTCCAATATGGCTACTTTTCTTTCAATACTGTATGTATGGCGCCATCTATGTCCAATACAACAATTGTATTGTTGAATTTGAAATGTTTATGTACTTCTTTGATCTATGGTTATGTCATTTTCTATAATTTTATGAAAATTAGATATCTTCAGTAAGTCTATTTTTGGGAAACGTTAGATATTAAGGGGAAATTATAGAGGCATTATTTTAAAGAAATAAAAACGTGCTGTTATAAACAAATTTACCTAATTTAATAGTTATTAATAAAGATAAAACTACCTTGAGGTTTTTTTAACAACTCGTTGCAATTTTAAACACACGACTAAAAAATGTTGACGTAATATAACTAAACTATCTAAGTAAACGACCATTTTTATCACTGTCAATGTTTATACTAATGGAAGGTTTTCGCGTTTACAATGTTTGCTTGCTATTAAACTACTAAATAAAGAGCGTTCGTCAGTTTCCTATAATAAAAATCAATTTTTTCCGTTATCCAGAGGATAATTTTCATTTTTCCATTTACTGCGATTAATATTCTCCAAAATTCGCATTATTTTGATTGTAGGTACGAGGGGTACAGCTAAAGTTCGTGGAATGGACAAGCATTTCTAGGGGTAAAAACCGATGAAAAATATTTATTTATCTCAGTAGGATTTTTTAAAGACTCAGAAATTTCAGTTATAGCTTTATTTTTAACATTTAAAGAATTTATTGTTCCTCAAAATTGTTTAGAGCTACCGGATTTAAAATGGTGGGCGAGATACACAGATTTTTCTTTTCTAATAGCTGAAGTAACTGTGTTTCGAATATCTTTATAGTAAATGTAGTCAGAGATGTTTTTAGACTTTTTATATTTAGAAAGTGCCTTATCTCCAATTTTCATCATCATGTATTGTAGGAGTTAGCCAAGGTGTAAAAGATTTTGTAATTCTAGATTCAACGTACGGCGCATGTTTATCAAATAAAAAGAGAAGGTAGGTATTAAATAACTTTATCTTGTTTTCAATATCATTTTCATATATTTTCAAAAGGTATACTTAATAGATCTCTATTTTATTACTTTAGGATTCTGAATAACAATTGATAGATTTAGACTGCAATACACTCCTCTGTGATCAGAAATATCGTGATCTATCGTACCAGAACCTGCGACAAGGTCATCTCTATTTGTAAAGATAACGTTGAGTAAGGTTTGTAACGTAGGAGTAATTCTGGTTGGTTCTTTTATTAACTGGCAAAACCCATATGATTCTACAGATTGATATATCACATTATTTGAAAGTTGGTCAACATTTATATCCCCTGTGTTTAATATATGGTCAAATTGAGGTTTTAAAAATGATAATATATTATCAAAAAATTCAACAAAACTTGGAATACCACATGCGTTTGTTCGGTAAATAACCCCTATTAAAATCAAGTTTTTATCTAATTTAAGAGAAACCCACATACGCTCAATGCCTTCGACAGTACCAAAATCATGAAGAACATGCTGGTGTTGTATACAGTCGCGAATATAAAAACCAACTCCTCCATCAATTCGATGTTTGCGATCATTTCGAAGTATTTGGTATCCAGAAATATAGATATGAGATGGCCCAAAAAAAAAGAATTGAAATTCTCAGTCACTTTGTCTAATAGTGATTTTTAGGCTTTCTGCTGCCGGAATTGTCACATATTCGGAAAAAAGGTTGTCTTCTTCATTCCTTCGTTTGCGGGGTGCATTTTTTTCCCAAAATTTTGAGGTTTTTCATTTTTCTCCTTATTTTCGAGATTTTTGAGATTGCTATTATTTTCAGATATTTCACTCCGTACTTTCTAAGTACCCCAGATAGTCGGCTGACTGCTTGACTTCGAGCGCTCTACGGCTCCTCCACCAGTCTCTGGTATCTTTCTCCAAACTTTCGTCTGAGTTTTATTTATTCTCTTTTGAGGTACTGTTTTACGTTTCCTCGTCCTCATCGGCAGTTTTTAGGCATTCCGTACACGAGCTGGAACTGTTTATACTCATTTCAACATCCTCATCGTCATGGGACTTGGCAGTTTCATCTTAAGAAAGTTTGTGGAACGCGTTCTCCATACTTTTTTTGGCCTTCAGCGCCGAGAGCAGCTTTCTGGTTACTTTCTTGCGCTTCATTTTCGATGGGCTGTTCGGCAGTTTGCTGTTGTGTGTCTTTGGCTTGACTGGCGCTGAGCCATACTCTCCGTACTTTTTTAAGGAAAAAGTTGTTGCATCGACCTCACTTGGATTTGGTATTTTCTTCCAAGTTAGTGATTAGTTGGCCAGTACTCACGGTTTTTATGGTTTCTTGTAAAATAATACTTCTTCTTGGTCTTGCAATGTTATGGTTACGAATACAGTTTTTCCGGCTTTGTTGCACCAACTTGTAGGCTTTTAATATAATCGTTTTGAATGCTCGGTCTCTGGTTCCGCGTATACCGCGATTGGTACCGGTTTTTCCGACGGTTTGGCGCCCCCCCAAGGGCTCCCCTATGCATGGGGTTACACTCTGAAAATAGTTTTTAGACTTACCTGGCGACACGAAATGTTCGGGATAATAATAGAAAGGAAAAAACACTTATAGTGGAACGAAAAATGGGGTAATGTTACTTTGAAGCCGATAGAAACTTGGGTTCGGGTAACAGTAGCCTAGGCGAGTCCTAGTCCTAGTCTAAATGGAGAACATTGAAGAAAATGCATTGATCAATGTTAAAAAGGTAGAAAATTCATTAAAGTGAATATAGCAATGGAAAACTTAATAATTAACCTCAGAAAATACTATGATAATGATACCAGTAGTTATAGTGAATAAAGTGACTTTTAAAAAGAGTTCTTGAACTTTAAATTTATCTTTTAGGTATTGAAATGTTACTTTTAATTCCAAGAGATTCAAAAAAGTTTAATTCCGTTATCAACATATTAAAGTGCAACAATTTTGTCAGAAGATTAAGGTTTATTTTTATTTTTTGTAAATAACAACTTTTTCATTCAAAATTTGATCTACTAAGTGCGTATATACCATTTTATATGTTGTGACCTTATTTATATTATAGAAACTTATTTAACAAAGTACGCCTATGGAATGTGACGTTTATCCCCACTTTTACTGCACTCTTCTTTTATTTCTACTATAGTCGTATCAAAACAGCAGCAAAATGTGATTATTTCAACAAACATTTGAAAGAAAATACTAAGTTGTGATATATTTTTGAAAAGGGGATAAAACATGCTATGTAATGCAATACAAATGTGCAAAAGCTTCTGATAGCGTTTCCCTCGTCATATCTCGTCGAAAAAAGTTTTAGTGCCGTTACAAACTTATTAACAAAAAAAAAAGAGCAGATTGAATATCACAGAAAGGTGAGATTTACGGTTATTCCTTACAAAATTCAAGCCAAATATTGATAATTTGCTGTCAATCCCTCTCATTAAAATTATTTTTTTTTTAATTACCATTGTAGAAATTACATTACGTTATAAGTGTTTAATTTTAATTATATTACGACGGTTATAACAATAATAATTAATAGTGTAATGATTTATATATTTAAATTTAAATAAATACCTACAACACAAGGAAATATACTATATTTCTTTTTACCACTCCGAATGGGACGTTTTCTAAATAAAATTTGTGAGAATTGATTGGTTCTTGTGCTGTGAGTCACTGTAGATTTCAAAAAAGTAAAGTTGGATGGAGTCACTTTTTCGTTTGGCCAACTTTGCTTTTTTGACATCCACTCACAGCACAATCAATTAAAATTTAATTGAAAATTTGTTTAGTCGACTTAATTATCGACCCTATCAAGTAATCAATTCTAAACTCTTTTTTTTTTCGAAAACTGTTAATTCGTCGTTAAAAATCAGCCACAATGCAAGTTTCCATAGATCTAATCTTCACCTTTCTTTTCGAGATTTATAAATTGGTAGTGATGTAGCTAGGGGGTCCACCAGATCCAGCAAAATTTTGAAAGTGGTCTATGAAACAAAAGAGTTCGGGAACCTCTGGTCTAAACCTAAATATTGTATGTCAAATAACTGAGATACAGGGATTTATCAAAAACACACCAATTTGATTTTTCGCGCTCATTTTGAAAAACAAAAACAATTGATAAAATACAGGGTGTTATTGAAATACACGTACATATTAAAACTGGGTATTGCACAGATCCCCACTGAATGTAGAAAAATATTATTTTTTAAAAATACCCCTTATTAAGGGAGTTATTAATTTTTGAAAATTAATTCTAAAACAAACGTACTTCACTGATATGTTGAGGATGACCTATATAAATTAGGTTTATTTACCTATTTTAAACATCAACAGTAATTAATATGCAAGTTTTTGTCAGATGATAAGAAAACTAGTCTTTTAAGAAATAACCATGTTGCCAAGATTTTCGAATTAATTTCTATTTCCGAAGACTGGTTTTTACTACCCTCGTTATCAAAAAACTAGAATATTTGATAAATGATTGTTTTTAAACTATACATTTTTGAAACTATAGATTATTAAAATTTT